GGTGGCACCTTGCCGTGAGTGACGTTGAGTTGGCCACGCCCATGCGATTTGTGTGAACATGCGATTTGTGCACGCACAGATAACAGCAACACCGAGCATCAGCTGTTTCTTAGCTCAGCTGAGGCGCGGCAATTCACTCTGCTGTGCGAATCAGTTGAGCTAAGAAACAACAGAATATAGGAGAGGTGAGAGGTGTGATGACTCGGGGCGTAGCACAAAAGCAACAAAGTCACAGAAGTAGGTAAAGTCCCTTTAATACCTCCAACTTGGCCCCCAATGTCCAGTTATCTCTGGCTGGAGAAAAAAACTCTCCCAGAAATTCAGTCCGAACCCAAAGTACATATAAATTATAAATAAAAACCAACACAAACCACGCTGCAGCAATTAATGAGACAGGGCAGGATAAAGAATTGCAGACTTCAAAAGATAACAAAACACACGCAGTTGGGAGGACGCCAAACCCAAATAAGACTTGATAAAGAAAGATAATTCACGCTTTGCTTCCAGCAAGGTGCTGTGCGCAAACGCCCTTTTTAAATCCTGTTTTCCCAGCTGCAGCTAATGAAGGGAATCAGGGCCCTTTTCTCCCCTGTAACCCACATAACTCACGTTGCTCCCTTCTCCGTTCCTCCCTGCGTGACCTAGGATGAAGAGGTGGTGGCCCTGGGTCTTCCTCTGAATGCCCAGCCGGACTGTGCTCTTCCCCCGTTTCTTCCACAGCCATCAAAAGTGGATCACAGCACCCCAGGGTACCGCAACCATCATAAATGTGAGTCAGTTGTCAAACATCCAATAGGAGCCATGGTGGCTCAGTGGTTAGAAGGCAGTTGTCATGCCCTTGTTGGAGTCTGATTCTGAGGGTGAGATTGAGCAGCTGAGAAAGAGTGGGAGTGTGGCTCCGGTGGCTGTGGAAGAAACGGGGGAAGGGCCCAGTCCGGCTGGGCATTCAGAGAAAGACCCAGGACCACCCCCACTTCATCCTAGGGCACGCAGGGAGGAACGGATAAGGGAGCAATGTGGTTTATGGGGGAGGAAAGGGCCCTGATCCCTTTCATTAGTTGCAGCTGGGAGAACAGGATATAAGAGGGATATTTGCACACAGCTCCTTGCTGGAAGCAAAGCGTGCATTATCTTTATCAAGGCTTATCTGGGTTTTGGCATCCTCCTAACTGTGGGTGCCGCACCTGGCCTGCCGTGTTAATTACTTCAGCGTGGTTTGTGTTGGTTTTTTTATTTCTAATTATCTTTACTTTGGGTTCGGACTGCATTTCTTCCCTTCGTAGACCATTTTGATCTCCAGCCGAGGATAATTGGACATTGGAGGCCAAGTTGGAGGCATTAAAGGGAATTTATTCTACTTTTGTGACTTTGTTATTTTTGTGTCACTCCGACTGCCGGCAGTTCGAGTCTCACCAGTTCAAGGTTGACTCAGCCTTCTGTCCTTCTGAGGTGGGTAAAATGAGGACCCAGATGGTTGGGGGCAATAGGCTGGTTCTGTAAACCGCTTAGAGAGGGCTGTAAAGCAGTGTGAAGCGATATATACATCTAAGGGCTATTGCTATTGCTATCCAAATGTAAATCATGTGACCATGGGGATTCTGCAGTGGCCATCCGTGTGAAAAATGGTCACTTTTTTCAGTGCCGTTGTAACTTCAAACGATCGCTAAGCGAACAGTTGTAAGTTGAGGACTACCTGTATATATTTATTTTAGAACATTTACATGGCCGTCCACTCACACATGGCGACTCAAGGCGGCTTACACAGATATATAAAAATAGCAGATAAAAAGAATAATAAAGAAAAATAGTAAAATAGTAAAATAATAACCCCCAACATGTATTCATACAAGCCATTTAATGGACTCCATCCCGCTCTGGGTTCCCCAGGCCCGCTGGCTGAACCAGGTTTTCAGCGCCTTCCGGAAGAGTGTTAAAGAATTGTGGCCAATCTAATCTCCAGGGAATGATGTTCCAGAGAGAGGGAACCACCATGGAGAAGGCCCTTCTTCTGGGTTCCAGAATATCTCTCTCTAGGGGATGAAACCTGCAATATTCCTTGCCTCCCCACTCTTGTGGGTTGGGTTGATGTAACTGGCAATGGTCCCTGTGATGACCGGGGGTGTGGCACAAAGGCAACACAGTCAAATAAGCAAGAAGAGTCCCTTTAGTACCTCCAACTTTGCCCCCAGTGTCCAGGTTACCTTCAGCTGGAGAAAGAACTCTCCCAAGAACAGCCTTTAAGTGGAGGAAATTCAGTCCGAAAACAAAGTACATACAAACTGTAACTAAAAATCCACACAAACCATGGTGCAGTAATTAACTTGACAGAGTAGAAGTATTTTAACAGATGGATCATTTGAGATGCAGTCATTGGTATATAGGGAGAAGAGAAGTGGAGATAGCACACAGCCTTGGGGGGGCCCTGTGCTGATTGTACAGGTATCATGTGATTCTGCCTAGCTTCACCTGCTGCTTCCTGTCTGTTAGGAAGTTTATGATCCACTTACAAGTGTGTTCAGGTACCGCTAGTTGGTTTAATTTACTTAGAAGAGTGTCTGGAATGATGGTATTGAATGCTGAACTGAAGTCTACAAAGAGGACCCTTGCGTAGGTATTTGGAGATTCAAGGTGTTGTAGGATGTAATGCAGAGCCATGTTAACAGCATCATCTGTCGATCTATTTGCTCGGTATGCAAACTGCATGGGATCTAACAGCAGATCCGTGATGGTTTTCAGGTGGGACAGCACAAGCCTTTCAAAGATTTTCATAACTACAGATGTTAGAGAAACTGGTCTGTCGTCATTCAGTTCCTTGATGGAGGGCTTCTTTGGCACTGGGATGATGGTAGAGTGTTTGAAGCAGGAAGGAACATAGCACATCTCTAGTGATCTATTGAAGATTCGGGTGAAGATGGGGGCCAATTGGTCAGCACAGACTTTTAAGCAAGAAGGAGTTATCTTGTCTGGCCCTGGTGCTTTTCCTGGCTTCTGTCTGTGTAATAGATCTTGCACTTCTTTTTCTGTGATCACCAGAGGTTGTGAGCCCAATGGATTGGGGCCAGTTGTACGAGGCTTGGCTGTTCTTGGTATGTTTGAGATGGTGGTTGTGGAGATAGGTGGCTGTAGTTTCTTTTCAAACCTGCAGTAAAACACATTCAGGTCATCTGATAGTTGTTGATTTCCTTCTGCCCGGGAAGAAGGTTTGCTGTAGCCAGTGATGTCACCCCTAGTCCTTCATTTCACTAGACTACATAAAGACAATTCCTGCAACCATTCTTCATGTTTTAGTCTCCAGGCCCTTAATCATCTTAAACAACAGACAAACAAACAGTTAAACCAGTGGTCACCAACCAGTGGGCCGGGGACCACTGGTGGTCCGTGAGAAAATTTTGGTGGTCCACAGAGAAATGTCCCCCCAAAGCACCCCCCCCCCAAAGCAATTAATCCAGGCTGTGCGGGAACACAAGGCTGCACCGCCCATGTGGCCTGCCCACCTGCTGGTCCCCACCCTTCGGCCCAGCGCAAACCTTACCTTGAGTAGAGCCACCGGCAGGGGAGGGAAATCCGCCCCAGGCTGGCTTGCTGACATTGGTGGGAAAGTCGGTCTCATATTCCAAAGCTGCAGTAGTCACAGGACTGGCCCTTTGGTCAGCCTGGAGCAGCTCCTCCAGTCCATGGCAGGCCGGTGTACCAGGGTGGAGGACCAGCTGCTCCAGGATGACCAAAGGGCCAGTCCTGTGACTATTGCAGTTTTGGAATATGAGACTGACTTTCCCACCAACGTCAGCAAGCCACTGTCAGTCAACATTCATATTAGTGGTCCGCGAGATATAAAATTATGATTTTATGATGATGATTATTTGGTGCTCCCTGAGGTCCAAAAGGTTGGTGATCCATAGTTAAAGGTAGCCTACATTGTTAGGGATGTACCATAGGAGCTACATTTTAATGACAAGCAGGTTTGATATTTAGATTTGCAAGTTGAGGTGCTCCTGCCCTGCCCTTTGATTATGAGGTGTGTGTATTAGATGTGTATATTTGGATGTTGCCCTGAGGACCTGTGAAGTCTAGGAAGGACAATTGCTCTCAGATACGTAGATTTTTTTCCTAGGTGTGGAGTTATTAATAGAGAGGATTGAATTGTGATTGATCCTTATATTGAGGGGATTTTGTTTTTTTGATGGAGCCAATGAAGTGCTCTTAATTTTAGTCCCAAGTGTCAAATACAAACCAAGAGGTTTTTTTTTTCTGTATCTTTATTTTGAGGTTTGCTAGCAGATCAGTGTCTTTTAATTTTCGAATTTTTCTGAAGAAAGTGATGCCATCACTTGAGACCTTCAAGAAGAGATTGGACTGCCATTTGTCAGAACTGGTGCAGGGTCTCCCGCTTGGGCGGGGTGGTGGTGGGGTGGACTAGATGACCGATAAGGTCCCTTCCAACCCTGATTATCTGTTATCTGTTATGCGAAAGACTCAAATCCCTGCTTTTCAAACTGCTGAGCCTTCTAAACATTCAATCCAGCCAGGGGCTTTCCAGAAAAAAAAAAGAAAAAAAGAAAAAATCCATTCACCCTCCTCCATGAAGCCAGCTTTCCCCAGCCTGACACCTTGCAAGTTGCAAACTCCAGCGCCCATAACTTATAAGTACGATGGGAGTTGGAGTCCAACATATCTGTAGTTCGGACCTGCCAGATCCCCGAATGGAACGTCCAGGGTGAGGGAGAGGGCTGGCAGTCGAGCCTGCCACCCCGATTCCTAGAGGGACCGTACGAACGCGCGATCGAGGGGAATGGGGAGGCGATAAAAGGGAAAGCCACCCAGATTCCTAGAGAGACCTCACGAACGCCCGAGCGAGGGGGGGGCATAAATAGCGAAAGCCGCTTCCTGTTCCTTCTCCCTTACGTTCCCCCCTCCTCCCCACTTCCTCTTCTCTCGTTCCCCCCCTGTCCCCGCCCCCCCCTCCTCCGCCGGCGCCCTTCCCATCGCTCCGGCGGAGGCTGGCCCGCCTGGCGGCATCTGTGATCGCCGCGGCTCTTCGGAGAAACGGCTTCCGCGGCGCATCTTGCAGGTGGGGTTGAGCGGAGAGGAGGACCCCGCCGTTTCCCTTCCCCCCCGCCCCCCGCGGCTGGTTTTTGCAGACAAAAGGAGCTTGGGGGTGGGGTGGGGGGCAGAGCCCGGGATGGGGAGGGGAGGGAGCGCAGCCGCTGAACTGGGGAAAGTGGGAAGGGTCCTGCCCGCCCCCTTTAAATGGGGAAGGGGAGCCCCCCCCAGTAAAAGCTCCCTTTGCTTCCCTGCCTTAAACCCGATCTGAGCTCTGCAGAAGCAGACAGATGTCAAAGCCTTTCCTTGCATGGGAAAAAAAGGGGGAGGGGATTGCAGCCAAACCTTTGCAAACTGGGGTGCCTTTATTTTATTTTATTTTATTTATAATTTATTTGTCACGTTGACCTGGGTGCTCATCTCTCTCTCACGAAGTGGGCGGGATGCAAATAGAACCAGGGATTCAATCATTTCATTTTGCAAACGGTTTGTTGGTTGCAAACCCTTAGCAACAACCGTCAATAGAGATAGATTTCAGTAGCAATCAAAACCAGTTTCCTGGCTGTGAACTCTAGTGGAAACGGATTGCCTTTAGAAGTTGTGGGTACTCCGTCCCTGGAGGCTTTTCAGAAAAGACTGGGCAGCCATTTGTATGAAATGGTATATAATAAGGGCTCGTGCTCGGGCAGGGGGTTGGACTAGATGACCTCCAAGGTCCCTTCCAACTCTTGTTATTCTGCTATCCCTGTTAAATAAACAAAGCCACAAGAGGAGAGAGGTATTAGAAATATCACCAACGGGCAAACTCCCTCTAATGGCATCTCCAGCTCGCTTGGGGGAAAACCCCCACATTTTGAGGGTTTCCTGGAATGTCCTAAAAGTTGGGGCTGACCTCATCTGGGAGGCTGTGATGAGGATGAGTGAAAGGCAGATGGATGATTGACAGCTGTTCTACCCCCCCCTTCCCCTGTTTTGTTAAGGCCTTGCTGGATTTGATGGTGAAGTGTAACGAAAGAAAAGGGCTTCAGCCCCTTTAGGCACATTAGTGGGGCTCCAAGGTTGGACACCCCACCTTCAACTCAGTTTGGCTTCTCAACCTTGAATGGAAAGAACCAGAATGGATTTTGGGGAGGAGAAGCTAAATCCTGCTTACTAAACCTGGGCTGGGCAGGCAGAACAGAGGAAAGCAAGTATCTTCATCAAAGATTTCTGTACAAAGGCACAACTGCAAAAGCTAATTGAAGAGGGGTGCTTGCCAGGCCCAGTGCTTTATTTATCATAAATGGCAGGTTGTTGTTTTTTTTCCCTGCCAAGCTGTGTGGTTTAAAGTGGAGCTTTTATCTACCTTTCTCTTTGCATGATCAAAGAAATGCGTAAGGAGGGAAAACGCTGTGGGAGAACACGTCTAGAATGTTCCTGCTTGGAGTCTTAGTCATTTGAAATAAACCCATTTAGAATAATAATAATCCTCTTTCCCTTTTCTTCCGCCGTCTGTCTCGGAGAAGAAAAACTTGAATAGCCGATGTGATATTTTGGACTGAAGTAAGATCTTTATTTGGATCGCTCGGTGTCTTTCCAAGCGAGGGTCAATCTCTAGAAGGTGGAGAGAAAAAAAACTAAGGATAGAAACAAGTGAAGCGTTTGTTTGCTTTCAGATGGCGATCGAAGAGATGAGTCACCGAAATTGTCCCTTCTGTACACGTGCTCAATTTCATGTCACATAATAGGAACTACTTGGACTGAGCAGGTGTTCCGTGCAATAGAAAAAGGAGGATTTATTGATTGATCGATTTATTTATTTATTTATTTAACTGTATTTAGAGCCTGCCCTCAATACAAATGAGGTTCTGAGGGGTCCATAATATTTTTTAGATGTATTTATTTAATACAGGTAGTCTTTGACTTAGAACCACCATTGAGCTCAGGTTTTCTATTGCTAAGCAAGACAGTTGTTAAGTGAGTTTTGCCTCATTTTACGACCTTTCCTGCCACGGTTTAAGTGCACTGGTTCGCTTGGTGACACGGTTGTTCAGTGGATCTTGCCGCCCCCCGTTGTCTTCGCTTATCAGAAGGTTGCAAAAGGTAAATCACATGACACCTCCCTCCGGGTCCCTGCAACTGTCATAAATACGTACCAGTTGCCAAGCGTCTGAATTTTGATTGTGCAACCATGGGGGAAAGCAGCAACAGTCGTAAGTGTGAAAAATGGTCATCAGTCACTTTTTGCAGTGCCATTTGTCACTAAACAAGCAATTGTAAGTTGAGGTTACCTGTACAATGTAGAGGTGGCCTTGATTCCAGAATACCCTGACATTAAAAAAAGTGAAAACAATTATGAAACAGATAATAATGAGCATCCATGAGGTAAATTCTGTAAGGCAACAAAACACCCTAGACCAGGGTGTCACCAAACTTTTGGACCTCAGGGACCACCAAACTCATAATTTTAAATCCCGCAGACCAGAGACCCTGGGAAAATCCCCCAAAAAGTCTGCAGGAAAGTTCCCCACCGTGTTTTCCTACCGATCAATCATTCTTTATTTGGGATCGCAGGATACCGTCTCCAGCTCCATTCTCAAGAGGAGAAAAAGAGAGAGACTTTTGGCTTCATGCAAGGAAAGCAGCAGAAGCAGCAGAAGTCTTTCTTTGTCTCCCCCAAACTCCGCCAGAAATGAGTCTTTGCCAGCACAGCCTCTTGGAGCAGGATGCCTTGCAGGATCCTAAAGACTCATTTCTGGTGGAGTTTGGGGAGAGAAAGAAAGACTTTTGCTGCTTTCCTTGCGTGCAGCCAAAAGCAGAAGAAGAAAGAAGCGGAAAGAAGCAGCCCGGTGGTCAGACGAGGCGAGTGGGGCAAGTTCCCCCCCCTCCACC